AGAAGGAAATAAGAAAATCCCACAAAGTGAATATGAACAGTCTTCTTCTTGACAGTCTCTGTCACAAAAAATATTTTCAAGTGACAGCCTGACTTGGGAGCGAGCAGAAATAAAACCTGGCTGAAAGAAGGGGAGGAATGGAGTCAGTGAGCTCCCCAGGGACCCCAAAGAGGCATTCCCTGAAGGCGAGGATGCAGCTGGGTGCAAAGCTCAAGCCTCCATGCGACCCTCAGCATCCCCAGGAGACTCCCCAAGCCCTGAGCGGCTTATGGGAGTCCCAGGTTGAAGCTTCCCCACCGCACCGGATGCCTGCAGAGGTCATTGTACATATAACCTGGAAAAGCTCCCTGATCGAAGAGGAAAAGTTATTCCTACAAGTTAATTTTAATGATTTATTTTGTTTGACCCAATATATCCAAAAGATTACCATTTCAACTACTTCACACAGAAAATCACTAATAAAATCTTACTTTTGTCATGCTAAGTCTATGAACTTGGTGTGTATTTTACACTCACAGCACATGTTGAATCTGACCAGCCTCATTTCAAATGCCACAAGTCTCCCTGTGCCCAGCCAGTGGCTCCGCCCGGGAACTGAACCTGGAGGGCTCCTTTCTGAGGCAGAGCCCCACCCCAGACTGCAACTCCCGGGAGCGGATTAAGCCCGAGCGAGACAGGATTGGCAGAGCCGGAAAAAAAGACAACGACCAGATCGACATGGGGGAAGGGAGCAGGCCAGGAAGCCTCAGCGAGTGACACATCCTCTTTTAAAACACGGATCAAAAACAAGAGCAGAGAACGGTCTGTGAAATTATACAAACTTCATGCCCCCACCCTCCTCCTAGAGGTTCAGGAAAGTTAAATTCTTAATCTTATAAGCACTTTCATACGAATGAGCAACAGAAACATCAAGGTTACATCCCATAAACAGTCTTATGTGGAGGAACGAGGAATAAACTAACTCTACAGGTGGAATTGAAAACGGGACAAATTCAATTCCAGTGAGGATAAGAATTGCGAGGAATCAGCCAGATGTGGATAAAAGCACGAGTTCATCCAATGGGTTACCTTCTGAGAGGGATGGGAAACCAACTTCTTATACTAAAAACTGGGTAAATAAAAAGGAAAGAATCAAGGTCCTTTTTCCAGGCTCTTGAACGTAAATGGTACCACTGGGTAACCAAGTGTAGGTGAGGGGTGCATCTCCTTATAAAACTCTTCCAGCTGACATTTGAAAACAAGGTGATGAGAGAGTAGCACCTTCTCAGACTCCTTCTCTGTTTTCCTCATTAAATTCTCAAACTCAGTTTTTTTCTTTCTTAAACTTTTCTGAACTATATAAGATTTATTTTTAACATTCCCTAGTAGATGTGTGTTTTCTAAACAACAACTACTGGGAATTTGAATACCACTTCAGCCCTTTTGAACTATCTTCCACAGGTGTTGGCCCCTTGCTAATTGACAGGCATTTCTAACCCTAGTGCCTCTGTTATTTTATTTTAGTTTCCATGACTCTGTAATGGAGATTCTATTATTATTGTGATTTTATACATGAAGAGATGGAGGCTTTGAGAGGCTGGGCATGGTGGCTCATACCTGTAATCCCAGCACTTTGGGAGACTGAGGTTGGCCAATCTCTTGAGCTCAGGGGTTCGAGACCAGTCTGGGCAACATGACGAGACCCTGTCTCTACAAAAAGTACAAAACTTAGCCAGGGGTGGTGGTGCACACCTGTGGTCCCAGCTACCTGGTAGGCTGAGATGGGAGAATCGCTTGAACCCAGGAGGAAGTCAAGGCTGTGGTGAGCCAAGATTGTACCACTGCATTCTAGCCTGGGCGACAGAGTGAGACCCTAGCTCATAAATAAACAAATAGATTTTCAGGGTCACATGTGGTACATGAGCAAGCCAGCCTGGAGTCCGAGCAAAGGATCTCAGCCTCAGAAGTGTGAGCTCCTTGCCTCCTTCTTGCAGGAATGTCTGCTGGGAAATGAATTATACCCCCGCCCCCAGGTCATGGTGAAGCCCTAACTCCAGTGTGTCTGTGTCAGGAGATGAGGCCTACAAGGGTGTAATTTAGTCTAAAGGAGGTCATGAGGGTACAGCCCTCACATGGTAGGATGGTGTCTTTGCAGGAGGGAGAGGACACAGCAGAAGGTGGCTGTCTGCAAGCTGGGAAGAGAGCCCTCCCCAGGCACCGAGTCAGCCAGAATCTGTATCTGGGACTTGCAGCCTCCAGAACTGTGAGCAATAAATGCCTGCTGTTGGAGCCGCCTGGTCTGGGTGTTTTGTTCCCGCAGCTGCACTGACTGGTACAACACTCACAGCAAAGCTTGTTTGAGTCTTGTGACCTACAGCCTTAAATTGCTATTTAACCATTACGGGTGAGCGCTCTTGCACCCACATCTGTGTTTCAGGCCCCCAGCCCCCGGAGCAGGGAGTACGCCCCGTGTTTCTTTTGACCCTCGACAGTCTACTCCAGCACAGTGCTGCCAGCAGGTGTGGTGGGAAGTCGATTGCTGAGTGAGGTCGTGTTTCCAGGACGCACAACGTGGAGAGTGGAGCATGCACTTCAAGTCCTGCGTGTTCCAACTTAAGGAAGAGTATTCAGTGCCGCCTGCTCCCTCCCCTGTATCTCAACCACGCCCAGCTGTGACTATGGCCCCTAAGAAGCTTCCACTGTGGCTGGACACACGCAGAGGCTTTTGGTGGCTTTTAGTCTACCCCATGGGCCGTTGCTAGAAGTTTTGCTTCTCAGTCCCAAATGTTTATCTGCCAGAGACAAATCATAACAATACCATAGAACACGTGATCCGTCTATGATGAGCCTGTGAAATACGAGAAGCGCAAACGCTGAAGAGGACTATTGGCCGCCGATGATCCCAACTCTACGTAAAGGTACATTCACAAAATTCACGGAAAGTTCAAAAGAAAATTGGGCGGAAGTTTAAGACTTTCTTTTTTTTTTTTTTTTTTTTTTTGAGACGGAGTCTCGCTGTGTCTCCCAGGCTGGAGTGCAGTGGCGTGATCTCGGCTCACTGCAAGCTCCGCCCCCCGGGTTCACGCCATTCTCCTGCCTCAGCCTCCCAAGTAGCTGGAACTACAGGCACCGCCACCACTCCCGGCTAGTTTTTTGTATTTTTTAGTAGAGACGGGGTTTCACCATGTTAGCCAGGATAGTCTCGATCTCCTGACCTCGTGATCCACCCGCCTCGGCCTCCCAAAGTGCTGGGATTACAGGCTTGAGCCACCGCGCCCGGCCAGTTTAAGACTTTCATGACACGCTAATAAAACACTCACAATGGCCCACATCAATGGCAATCTACCTCACTCGCAGGACGTGTTTATTTTGGAAACATAAGAAAATGTGTTTCTGGGCTTGCAGGCGAAGTGAGGGACAGCTCTAGGGAAGGAGCCAGGAAACCACAGCCTCCGGCAGAAGCTGCCCCGCTGCATGCAGCCCTCGTGCCAGAATGGCTTTGATGTTTGTCAAAGGGTTGTAAAAACAAAACCACATGAAAACAAGACTGTTTAACAAAGATTGCTAGGCCCACAAAACCTAAAATATTTACTACGTGGCCCTTTTCAAAAACAGTTTGCAAACCCCTGGTCTAGATCACCCAAGTTACAGAGGGATTTTTTTTCCCATTTTATATGCAAAAAGTTTAATTAAAATAGCAGCTTGGGCCAGGCACAGCAGCTGACGCCTATGATCCCAGCACTTTGGGAGGCCGAGGCGGGTGGATCACCTGAGGTCAGGAGTTTGAGACCAGTCTGGCCAACATGGCAAAACCCCATCTCTACTAAAAATACAAAAATTAGCCAGGTGTGGTGGCAGGAGCCTGTAATCCCAGCTACCCAGGAGGCTGAGGCAGGAGAATGGTTTGAACCTGGGAGGCGGAGGAAGGCAGCGTGTTTGCCTCAAGCAAAGAAGATACTTACTGAGGGATGGGAGTGTGAGGTAGGAGTGCACGTGCAAGTTACAATCCCTGACAAGACCCCCAGCCCACTGACTTGTCACTTGGAAAGCGACATTCCTAAACTGGCTACAGAGGGACTCTGCTCTGGGATGCCTCTGGCCTGTCTGATAAACGATATGATTTCCTTCTGCCAGTCTGCTTTGAGCTCTGTGGACAGGTTTCAAACATGGCTCTAAAATCCTGCAGTAACCCTGCAGCTTGACACAGAAAGTTTACTATGCAATGAAGCAAAGCTTCGAATCAGGCCAGTCTGTGTTGGCCCAGCTCAGTGTCATGCCTCCACCCTCACAGAGCCTGCAGCATAAAGCCACAGGAACCTCCCCATCCACCTAACAAAGCAAGGTCCTTTGCAAAATAGGGTTTTAAACCAATGAAGTCACAATGGCATAGACGAACTTCCATTGGAAAGTCTAAATAAAAGTTTGTAGAGCAGACGCTTTCAAAACATTTGAAAATGTGAGGAAAGACTGCAGTTTTCACTATGCTAATATGTATACAATTAAAATTTGAGATTTTCCAAAAGGCGGCTCAAGGTTCCTTTGGTCGGTGGAATCCACTAGGCTCACTCATTATAGTGACTTTTTTTTTTTTTTTTTTTGAGACAGAGTCTCGCTCTGTCACCCAGGCTGGAGTGAGAGGCGCGAACTTGGCTCACTGCAAGCTCCGCCTCCCGGGTTCCCGCCATTCTCCTGCCTCAGCCTCCCGAGTATCTGGGACTACAGGCCTGCCCCACCATACCCAGCTAATTTTTTGTATTTTTAGTAAAGACCAGGTTTCGCCATGTTGGCCAGACTGGTCTGGAGGAATCCACCTGTCTCAGCCTCCCAAAGTGCTGGGATTGCAGGTGTGAGCCACCACACAAGCCTATAGTGACTATTAACTCATCAAACTTGAATGTACATAGGACACCACAGTAGGCTCACATGAAGGGGGCCTGCAGTGTGTCCTATGATTAGCACAATCACGATATGATTTTATTCATCACACGACATGCATTATGTTTGAAAATAAAAATGCATTCGGCTGTCTAGCAAGCCTTTATTGTGTGTGTGCAATTTAAATAGTACACAATGTGCTGAAAAATTCTTTACATCCCCAGTTTGGTTTTGGTAGCTGTGATGGAATTTAAAAGAGTTTGATATTTCTCTAACTCAATATCCTGAACGTGTTCTTCACATTTGGCCCCGAGACGTCATGTTCCCACTCACCAGCAGGTGGCGGTGTCGGATGCGGTCCTGGCCTTGGACGTGCGGTGCCTGCTGATGGGCAGATTTTGGAGACCCCGAAGCCGCAATCGGAACCACATCTTCTCAGAGCAGGATGCCCGTATTGAGCACTGTGTTCTAGCGTCTTGTTCTACGGTGAGAATCCAGAGCCAGAAATGGCCTCCTGTCACTGCGCCTTTCTGAGAGCAGCGCCCAGTGCCCCCCTCTCCTTCGCTCTGACCCAGCCCGGCCGCCTCTCCCTCCTGGCCCGTGGCCCTGGGAAGGCTCCGTCCTCCTCCCTGCGGAGGCTCCAACCCTGCCCAGCTCCCGCGGGGCTGCCCCCGATCCGGTCCCCAGCACAGCACCCTTCACGCTCCCCTCCCAGCCTAATTACGACTTGTAATCATTCTGAGTAATTGCTTATATAATCTTATCATCAATCAAAACTGATGATAAAAACATTTCATTTTCAGAAAAATGGATCAATATGCATTCATCAGTATGCTAATTCACCCATTTACTAGTCAGTCGATTTTTAGACCATCCCACTCAACCTCCAGCTCGCGTGGTCAGGAACCATTTCTGTCCTTCCCATTTTTGACTCCCCCGTGCTTCTGTGGCTGGTGAAGCAACTGTGATGCGGGCGGAGGGATCAAACCAGTGGCTTCACCCTCAAACCTTAGCGGCTTCACCCTCCAGCAGCCGCTCCCCTTCAGGGAACAGGATGGACAAGGGCAGCCATCGCCGGCGGGTGTGCAGGAGCCCAGCCTCTTTCCGACCAGTGGCTTTGCTGTTGGAGCCTGAGGGCGTTCACAGTGACTTGCAGGATGGCTGGAGCAGGTTGCCAGCTGCATATCCCACTGTGACCAGGCGGGTGTCCACGGGTACACCAGCTGAAAGGGCTGTGAACTTGAGCTGAGCCGGGCACTGCACGGCTGTGGAGAGGGGAAGTGGCACCGGCAACCCCCACAGCAGAGGACTCAGTGCCCAGCAGGCTGGGGGAGCTGTCAGATGGGAGGAGGCACGAAGCGGGAGGAGCCACGGAGCAGGAGGAAAGGCAGCTCCTCCTGAGGGTCCACATGCGGTTTGCTTTGCATTTTAAAAATTAGAAGAGGGAGTCCTTTGTCCCACCCCCAGCTGCTGCACAGCAACAGGAATGTCTAGCAACAGAAACACCGACATCTCACAACTGTTGGGTGTGACTTAAAGTGGAGGCCGGGGCAGACAGAGGGAGTCAGGGAGCCCGGGGCCAGTGTTCCCAGGTCACTCATGGTCCCTGCTCCCGTGCCTTGTGGAGGGCAGGACCCTCTGCTGCCACTTCTCGGCGGCCCCAAGGACACACACACACACAGGCTCCTCTGTTTCAAGGGTTTATGGGGAAATGGAGAAAGGGAGAGGGGCGCAGTTAGGAAGAAGACTCTGGCCCTGTCCCTCAGCAGTCATGAGGCTGTGGTCACCGGGGCCTCCACTCTTTCTCAAGGCTCTCAGCACTCTGCTGCCTTCCAGGGGCCTGGTCAGGACCTGCCTCTGTGGCCTCATTCTTCCTCTGGGTCCTGCCCCCGTTGGGAAGGAGAGCCTCCGCCCTGGGCTCAGGCAGGCTGCTTCGATTCCACCCTCCTGGGACCTGCAGGCCTCCCATGGGACACCTCCTCTACCTTGGCCTTGATCAGTACGGACACCCAGCACTGCCTCAGCAGGAGCACGGAGCCCGCGTGGGTCGGGTGCAGGAGCACGGAGCCCGCGTGGGTCGGGTGCAGGAGAACAGAGCTCACTCATGTCAGCTGGGTGAGCGCTGCCCAGGCCCTGACCCCTGGCTGTAGGTGCCAGGGCGTGGAGCACTGTTGCCTAGAGGTAGCCCTGGTTCTACCCCCCTCCAATACATCCATGGCATTGAGTAGGTCCCTAGTGCTCTGGCCCAGCTGGCGATGGTCCTTCCAAGCCTGGTGGCTGCACACACAGTGCAGCACCCACCAGGTGAGCCTCGCTGGGCCCCACTGTCCTTCCTCCCTCTCAGCCCACCTGGCATCTCCACAGATGCCCACTCCAGGCCCCCAGCCTCAGCCATCCTCCTCACCTCAAACCTGCCAGGTTGGTCCCCGCCCATAGCCCCTGGTGTCCCAGGCTCTGTCGGCTTGGCCTCCTCCAGGACGCCTTCCCTAGGTCCTCTCAACCCAGCTCCATCCCAAACTCTGGTGCCACCCTTGCCAGCAGCTCATGCCTGCCGGGCCTCAACAGATGGGGTCATTTTCAGGTCCCGGCCCCCCTGACAGTGGGATGAGCCGCGACTGCATCTCATTCATCTCTGCCCGGGCTGCACAGCTGGAGCTGGGTGCTGATTCATCTCTGCCCTGCTGTACACCCGTAGCTCGGTGCCAGCTGAAAGAATGACCTCCGCAAACGCTTTGATATTATCCATCCCAACCCAGAATCCAAATATCTGATGCATTCAACCCACACGACAAACAGGGAGGCATTTGGATTGTGCCACGTATGTTGATTAAACATTTAACTAGACAGAGGAGTCAGAGACACAGAGTGAGGCAGAAAGGCCCAGCCATGCCTAAGGGTCCAGGGTCACAGAACGAGTCCACAACTCCAGCTACAAATCACTCAGCCCCATAGCTTGACCTTTTCAAAAGAACACAGAAAGGAACTTCAAAGGAAATCCTTGAATAGTTAAAAAGTATAAGGAATTAACATCTTAATGTTCTTTACTTCACTGCGAGGACCTCTTTAAACAGCAGAGACCACTAAGAGTCTCTCCAATGTGTTCCCTGAGTGCCATGGGGGAAGCAGGGAGTGGGTTCCAAGGTCTGGACGGTGCAGAGAATGGGCTGTTGTCCTCGAGCCCTGGTCCCCGTCCCTTCCGCACACGGGGGAAGACAATGGGCACCCTCTGTTCTGTGTTCTGTGTCTCTGTTTGCCCAGAGGCGGATCTGTGACAGGGAGGTGGGGGGAAGCATTGGGGTACAAAGCTCGCCAGAGACGTCCTTTCTGCAAATCCTCCCAAGGAAAGGGCCTGGGAGGCGGCAAAACAGCAGAAAAAGAAAACAAACGGAAATTGCCAAAGCCGATTTCCATAGAAAATGTGAAGTGCTTTTATTGCATCAGTGTCCGGTGCCCAGCGCCTCTGCAGGCTGAGGACTCACTCCCTGCTGGCTGGGCCCCGCCCTGCTAGGAGAGTCCCGGGCTGCGCAGGCGCGTCTTGCTATCTGTGCCCGTCCAGGCTGTTTTTAGGTGACTCTGTGGCACTCTGTCCCCTCGGAGGGGACCGTCATGAAAGCACAAGGCCTGTGGTTCATTCCTCAGTCAGGATGGAATTTGACGTTAGAGCCACACACAGCACCACGGTGTCCGCAGGACTAAGACACCATGTGAACCACAAAACTACAGAGCAGTTTTAGGAGTAAACATCTTCCAAATAGCAACAGCTGTTGAGCAGCTATTTAGCTGGAAAGGGAACGATGCTTGACCTCAAAACTGCCAGGAAATTCATCTGAAGGATAAGGGTAATTTTAATGGAACAGATTTTGTACCAAGTTGTCCTATATTATGACTCCAGCGGGGCCTGTCGTCTAAAACCAAAGAGAAAATCTGTCTGTTTTGGCTTCTGCACGTATTTCAGGGATGATATGACATGGCGATGTTGCTAATGGACATGATGTATCTTTTTGATAGATTACATTTTTTCTTAGATTGTGTATGTAAGGTCAGTTACATTAGGACTATTTGATGTTTTCAAGATTTTCCAAATTATGCCGTGGAGGCAGGAGAAATTAGAAGACTATGCTGCGAAGGGTAACATCAACTTTGCAGAAAAACAAATGGCTTCACGTTTTAATCTCACTCTTCTCTAAGTTCCTCCCCATAACTGAGCTACTCGATCTGCTTCAAAGTCCAGGAAGCTCACACTGTCCCACCCGAGCCTGTGATTTGGTGGAGGGACGACAGCTCCCGAGATGTCTTTGTGAGCACACAGGCGTTTAATGGGTGGCATAAATGTGTCAAGGTTGGAAGCCCGGTTTTGGGCAAAGTACGTTCAGGAGCTGGAAATTGCTGTGACAATTCTTCACAAGTATGCGGGCCACACACCTAGGTGCTCACAGGATTAGCTATAAAGGCTATGAATGTGCAAAATTATTTTGAAGTCTCCTGCTGTCAATGATAGCTGATACCTAAATTGTGTGAAAATGTTCAATTCCGAGTTTAAAACTGATTTCATTTTACAGGCTTTGGGGGAAGAAGAGGCTGTGACATCCAGCCTGCACCTTTCATAGAAGATGCTTTGTTATGTGATTCGGGAAGGTGTTTTATACGCCTGGGGCTGTTTATTGTTTAGCATCTCTCTCAGACAACTGTCTTTCAAACCCCCGTTTCTCAAGTGTATCCTAATTCGACACCACTTCTTGGTTATGGCTTAGGTTTTGACAGTCCTGTTTAGTGTCCAATTTTGATTTCTTTTCCTGATTCCTGTTTTTGGTTTTGTCTTTTGAAGGCCATATGTAAGTGCAAGGAAACATGCTGAATTCTAATGAAACTTCAGGTTTGCATTCACTTCTTCAAGTGCTCATTTGACATCCCTCCTACAATAAAAGGCTTCGGGTTTTTTGTTTGTTTGTTTGTTTTTGAGATGGACTCTTGCACTGTCGCCCAGGCTGGAGTGCAGTGGCACGATCTTGCCTCACTGCAAGCTCCGCCTCCCGGGTTCACACCATTCTCCTGCCTCAGCCTCCCGAGTAGCTGGCACTACAGGCTGCCGCCACCACGCCCGGCTCATTTTGTGGTTTTTTTTTTTTTGTTTTTAGTAGAGACAGGGTTTCACCATGTTAGCCAGGATGGTCTCGATCTCCCGACCTCATGATCCACCGCCTCGGCCTCCCAAAGTCCTGGGATTACAGGCGTGAGCCACCGTGCCCGGCCGGCTTCATCTTTTTATGACACTTCTCTTCAGTCAGAGCACAGCTCTCCCTCACTTGCAGATGTGAGGCCACTGGGGTTTCCTCCAGGTGCCCTCACTGTGAGCTGTCAGGCTCCCCAAAACTTCCCATTGTAGCACATGGCACTTTCTTGATGACTTGTGTATTAACTTGAATAGAGGCTTGTACACCTATATATACTAAGAGAACACGCTCAGAGGCAGAGTTTCTTATATAAAATCTATTCTTATTTCCTTTTATAAGAAAACTTGACAGTAAATTAAGAGATCAGGGAGTTTACATATTACATACTGTTATTAACAAATATTAAACATTTTCATTGTTAACGGATTAATGATTAACCCCAAAAAGAGAAACCATCAGGAAAAAAAGGATTGGATTTGATGTTCAATGATATTCAAGTTAAGGATTATTATTCAATAAAATATCCCACCAAAAAATGCTAACAGTTATGTGGAAGAATATATTTAACATTTCTAAAATAAACAAAATGGTAATATCTAAATCTATAAGAAATTATAAATCCACAGAAAACAACAAAGAAAAAATACACAGAAGTTAAATGGCTGGTCACAGAAGTGAGTGGTTAATCAATAAATGAAGGCACTTTCAATCCCACAGGGTGGCAGATAAATGCAAATTAAAACGAGATTTTAGTTCCCTATCTGATGGAGGCAAATGGAAAAGTTGCATCAAAGCAAGTGCTGGTGAGAATTGTGGCAGGACGCTGTGTGCCGAGGGCTGTGGGGTGTGCCCCACACAGCCTTGTGGAAACATGACCTGGCATCACAGTGTAGTTAGATAGGCATTATATCCAAGAGGCTTGGTGCATCCCAGGAAACCTGGCTGCCCTGTCACAGTGGAAAGCAACACTGGGAATCACCCATCCCAGGTGATTCCTTTGCCATGGTTCTGTGCTTGGAGAAGGTCAGAACCTTTGCCGTGGGTTCTGTGCTTGGAGTCCCAAATAAACTTAAAAAGCAGCCTAGACCACAAGGACGGCAACTCCTGGGCAAGCCCTGGTGCTGTGCTGAGCTCAGAGTCAGTGGACTTGGGGACACGTGGCCCAGTGAGATATCCGCCAGGGCAGCCGAGGGAGTGCTTGTGCAACCCCTTCTCCTACCCCAGCAGCATAGCCCACAGCTCCAGGAGAGACTTCATCCTTCCCCTGAGGAGAGAAGAGGGAAAACGGAGGAGGCCTTTGTCTTGCAACTTGGATACCTGGTCAACCACAGTAGAATAGGGCACAGAGTCCTGAGGCCCTCATTCCAGGCCCTAGCTCCTGCATGACATTTCTAGACACACACTGGGCCACAAGGCAATCCAGTGTCTTGAAGAGAAGAACCCAGTCCTGGCAGGATTCATCACCTGCTGACTAAAGAGCCCTTGGGCCCTGAATAATCAGCAGCGGTAGCCAGGTAGTACCCGCCAGGGGCCTTGGGTGAGACTCTAAGACTTGGGTGAGACTCTTCAGGTGTGACTCAGCACATTCCAAGCTGTGATGGCAAAGAAGAGAGGCTCCTTCTGCTTGAGAAAAGGAGAGGGAAGAATACAGGTACTCTGTCTTGGTACCATCTTGGCCACAGTAGGGTAGAGCACCAAGCAGTCTCTTGGGGTCCCCAGTCCTAGGCGTTGGCTCCTGGACAGCATTTCTGGACCTGCCCTGGGCCAAAGGGGAGCCTATTGCCCTGAAAGGAGAGTTCTAGGCTGGCCAGCATTCATCACACACTCACTAAAGAGCCCCTGGG